CAAATGATGAACTGACCCAAGACGGACACATACAGAAACACAGACAGAGACACAGACACACAGACACACAGATACATAGACACACACACACACACACACACACACACACACACACACATAGAGTAGGCCCCTGGCAGTACAGTGCTAGTGCACAACTCACTGGCAGAGAGTGCCATGTACACAGGCCCTGATGTCCTGTGTTCCTGCAAGTGAGGGCCAGGCTGTTGTGGTGTCATCAGGCTAAGCACCTACACCCTCTGTTCAATAAAAACACTGCTGGGGAGATAGCTCAGAGGTCTAAGTGCCTGCCAGGCAAGCTCTGGGACCTGAGTTCAGTACCTGGTACCATACGCCCTGCTAACCCCAGAAACCTGGTTGCCCTGTGCTGGCCCTGAAACCGGGCTTGGTGGTGCATGTCTGTAATCCCAGCACTGTGGAGGCTGAGACAGGAGGATAACTAAGAGTTTGAATTGCATAGTGAGACCCTGTACCAAATAGAACATATATTTGTGCCAAAAAGGGCCTTTGACATTAGAGAGGGACTGGGCAGTGTGGAGGTTTTCTCTATGGGCTGCCAGTGGTTGCTGTAGTGCCTCATGGTGTCTGAGTAGTTTTTAAGCTTGGGAGATAGAAACTTGAGTTTTTACTACAAACCTGTTGCTTAGCTGCAATTTGGCCATGAAGAAATAAGTGTAAAATAACCATGATTCCCACATTTATACACAGTACCACTTCATGCAAAAAGTCAAAATGTTTGAAACAATCATAGACTTCTTTACCCATCATCACACTCTTCAAAACATCCACTCTACAAATGTTATAAATTCTGCTTTCAGTAGTCATACATAGGTTAAATTTTGAGACAGAATAGAAGTAGGCATTTCTAGGGAAGTGCTTATTCCACTGAGCTATCTCACCGACCCCAGAAGTAGGCTTTTCTAGTACTCAGCTTTTCACCATCTCTGTAGTCCTCCTTTCTCTGTAAAGATCTCTCTGGATCACTTGCTTCTTGTGGAGAATATTATCAAATCACTGTTTCAGATGTACTTCAATTTGGAATTTCACCTTCATTTGTGAA